GTACGCATGTGTACCGAACAAATCATTCAATTTCTTCAGGAAATTCAGACATTAAATGCCATTTTGGTGCTCTTTGATGTGGCGTGACAGATCGCTGTATAAACGCCTCGGTTCTGACAGCAGCGCGAGTGAGCGCGATCATCCCTTCATCTTTATTACTAGTTTTAATGTGAAATAAACATGAATGAACATCTCATGCCTCATGTAATCGCTCAATCAGTGTTTCACTCGTGGAAGGATGTGTTTAAAACAGCTTGTAAACTAAATGTAACGTAGCGTTTCATTTACTTCAGGCAAGTCATCAGTGTCCACAGCTCGTCAGTTCACCAGAGAAATGAAGTCTAGAGGAGTATTTCGCGAAATATTAGACTATACTGTATACATACATATACTTTATACATTATATTTTACTTCACCTGTTAGTTATGTCTTAATTATTTAATGTAGGCTATATTTAAATAAATCTTTTATGAAACAAGTTATGACAGCCACTGTGTAAATGATTAGGCTATATTTCATTTTATATGAAAGAAGAATGCTGTAGAATGCTTTCTGATCAAAGTCATCTCTAGCTGGCACTCGTATGTTAATGTGTCACAGATACTACAGCTGCCTCTGTATCTCATTATTAGACTGAATTGGCACAACATCTCCATTTATCAGCTCTGGATGCACGCAATCTTTCATTATACTGTCATGACTCACGGTGGAAGACAATGGCAGCCAACTGAATATCTGCACTCTGATCATTTTCTGCGGGAATGATCGCAGCGTCGTGCACATGAACCACGCAAAGACGGTAATTTGTATTAGGACTGGATCCAGCATTACATCACTGTTATTCGGGTCTCTTTACTTCACAGATGGATGAAGGAACACCGCCGGAGCCTGACGGCACTTTTGTGGATTACCAGACCACCATGGTGAAGTTTTCAAAAGCCATCGCCATTACTGCACAAGAAATGGTGAGGACGCTCACTCAAAATGCTTTAGCATCTTCTCACATCTTTAGTCACTGTATCACAGCTTATGCTTCTGTTATGTGACCCTAGATGACGAAGTCAGTGACATGTCCAGAGGAGCTGGGTGGACTGGCGTCTCAGGTGACGGTGGATTACAGCCAGCTGGCACAACAAGGCCGTCTGGCAGCTGCCACTGCTGAGCCAGAGGAGGTGAGGATCATTGCAGCAAGTGCGTCTCTACCCCCACCGGAGCAGTGATCTGAGAAATGCACATTTACAGACACGCTAATGGACGCGCAGATGACTTAAACCTCACATAAACTCCAGACTTCAAGGAAACAGATCACTTAAAACTGAAACTGAATTTTCTTCTGTGAAACACAAAAACAGGCCTTTGGAAGTCCAGAATGCTCTTTACCATACAATGAAACAATGAACTATTGAACTTTGGGGGAAAAAACACCCTAAAATGTCATAAATTTAGTTTATATGACTTGTGCACAATATTATTATTACATAGCCCTGCATTTTGCAAAAACTGCATTATATTACCTAGTTCAGAAATATCAATAAAAACTTTCATTAACATATATATATTTTTTTTTTTTCAAAAAATAAGAATGTAGGATTTTTCATTTATCAGAATTAATGCACTTATCAATATCAAAATCAAAAAGCAGTCAAATGCCAAAAGGTTCCATTTTAATGACAAAATGAAGTATTCAAACTGACAATCTGCAAAGGAGTGGGAAAAAGCAGAAATCGGGCATAAAATGAGCATAAATAATGACTTCAGAATCATTTGTACATGTGAAAATCGGCTGAGAATTGAAAAAAATACTTGTAACCTAGCTCAGAGGAAGATATGAATCATGTCTTTGTGGCAGTTTTTCTGGTGATTAAGGGATAATACAAGACTTCAAATAAAAAAAGACTTCTTCACCTTACAAGTGGTTGTTGAAAACCAACAAAATGCATCATATTCTGTGAAAAATTGTGACATACTAGAGCAAAACAGGCACTATTTTTGGAATCAGCACCTTGAAATTATTAAGAAACAAATGTTTGATTTCGTTCAGTTAATATGATGCAGGGTAGCATTATTATTAGTGCTGTCAAACGATTAATCGCGATTAATCGCATCCAAAATAAAAGTTTTTGATTGCATAATAAATGTGTGTGTATTGTGTATATTTATGTATATATAAATGCACACACATACATGTATATATTTAAGAAAAATTTTATATATAATATAACTTGTATGAATACAAATATACAATATGCATGTAAATACATGTAAATATTTTCAAAATATACACTGTATATGTGTATTTATATATAAATAATAAATAATTTATATATAAATAATAAATATACACAGTACACACATATATTATGTAAACAAAATCTTTTATTTTGGATGCGATTAATTGCGATTAATCATTTGACAGCACTAATTATTATTAGTATTAGTATTATTAATAATAAATAGGAAAATAAGTGTAGAAAAACTAAAAGGAAATAAAATAATTGTTTGATCAAAACAGTAAAAAAATTGTTTATATGCTTTTGTTATAACAGAAAGTTAATATAAAAAAACCTTTAAACCATCTTATTGGCACTTGTGCAATATATTCCAATCTTCTGAAGCCATTCGATAGATTTGTGTGAGAAATAGATAAATTAGTGCTATTCACTGTAAACTTCATCATTATTCACTCTCAAATCTCATCCACAATAGTGTATCATAAGCACTGAAATATAATAAAAATAAACCCATCCACACCTTCTTATTTAGTGATTTAGTGCAAACACATGCAACTTGGTCAGTGTCGTATAGCAAACCTTATACTTCCATTTTGCATGGTGTTAAGCCTGTGAACAAAGGTGCGAACACCAGCCGACACATTTCACACCTTTGCTCTTTCCACATTTAAAAAAAAAAGGAAGCCAACACGTGGACATGGTAGTCACCAGCTCTCTTCACTAGCATTTTTACATAAGCGGCCGTTACCATAGCAACCGTGCACCCCCACAAGCCTTAAAAGCCCGTTGTGATATTCATAATGAAGAGCCGCCCACCCATGGATCTGTGTGTCAGGTAACGAACATACAGTGCTGTCGGGCCCCCTCAAAGGCCGTCACAATCACTTCTTAATTATTGGATAGAGCTTTGTTGAACGGAGGCAGTGGCTTTTAGAGCAGTCGCAGAGCACGGATACATTCAGATTTACACCCAGATTCAGGCTGACTTGGATGCCAACTCTTTCTTAGACTTGATATCATGGCTGTTTCTAGGTGGGATCTCAGATCAAGACTCGGGTGCAGGAGTTGGGTCACGGCTGCATCTATCTGGTCCAGAAGGCCGGAGCCCTGCAGATGAGCCCGACGGACAGTTTCACCAAGAGAGAGCTGATCGAGTACGCCCGCGCTGTCACAGAGAAGGTAGGCTCACTCGGGATTGTGGGAGGCCGTTTCTTCTGTGTGGTTTGCTGCGTTACTTTGTTTTGTTTCTATTAACTTTTTATCACGGTATTAGAAAATAATTTTGTTTTTAAAGCCTCTTCTGACTACACTTTAAAAATACTGCTGGTTTATTTAGAGGTATGCTGCACTTGCTAAGGCTCATATTCACATTGTAAACAAAAAATAGTTGAAAATTATATTGAAACTTATATTGAGACCAGAATATCATGCGGACATTAGAGGGGGTGATACCACCCACAGCACCTTAGAAATAACATAGCAACACCCTGTCAACTACCTACGACACTCTAGCACCACTTTGGCAACCACCAAAAACACCCTAAAAAATAACATAGCAACACCCTGTCAACAACCTACGACACTCTAGCACCACTTTGGCAACCACCAAAAACACCCTAAAAAATAACATAGCAACACCCTGTCAACAACCTACGACACTCTAGCACCACTTTGGCAACCACCAAAAACACCCTAAAAAATAACATAGCAACACCCTGTCAACAACCTACGACACTCTAGCACCACTTTGGCAACCACCAAAAACACCCTAAAAAATAACATAGCAACACCCTGTCAACAACCTACGACACTCTAGCACCACTTTGGCAACCACCAAAAACACCCTAAAAAATAACATAGCAACACCCTGTCAACAACCTACGACACTCTAGCACCACTTTGGCAACCACCAAAAACACCCTAAAAAATAACATAGCAACACCCTGTTGATTAATGACGACGCCTTAGTAATAGCATAGCAACACCAATGCTACCACCCACAACACCCTAGCAATAACATAGCAATGCCTTATCGACTACCCACAACACCCTAGCAATACACTGGCAACCACCAACAACACCCTAAAAATAGCATAGCAACACCCTGTTGATTACTGACGACACCTTAGTAATAGCATAGAAACACCTATGCTACCACCCACAACACCCTACCAATAACATAGCAATGCCCTGTCGACTACCCACAACATTCTAGCAACACATTGGAAACCACCACCAACAACCTAAAAAATAGCATAGCAACACCCTGTTGATTACTGACGACACCTTAGTGATAGCATAGAAACACCCATGCTACCACCCACAACACCCTAGCAATAACATAGCAACATCTTGTCAACTACCCACAAGACACTGGCAAACACCAACAACACCCTAAAAATAGCATAGCAACACCCTGTTGATTACTGACGACACCTTAGTGATAGCATAGATAAACCTATGCAACCACCCACAACACTCTAGCAACACACTGGCAACCACCAATAAAACAAAAAAAAAATAGCATAGCAACACCCTATTGATTACTGACGACACCTTAGTAATAGCATAGAAACACCTATGCAACCACCCACAACACCTTAGCAATAACATAGCAAGACCCTGTCAACTACCCACAACACCCTAGCAGCACACTGGTAACCACCAACAACACTCTAAAAAGTAGCATAGCAACCCTCTATTGATTACTGACAACACCTTAGTAATAGCATAGAAACACCTATGCAACCACCCACAACACCTTAGCAATAACATAGCAACACCCTGTCAACTACCCACAACACCCTAGCAGCACACTGGCAACCACCAACAACACACTGAAAAATAGCTTAGCAATAACATAGCAACCCTCTATTGATTACTGACGAAACCTTACTAATAGCATAGAAACACCTATGCAACCACCCACACCCTATCAATAACATAGCAACACCCTGTCGTCTACCCACAAAACCCTAGCAACACAGTGACAAACACCAACAACACCCTAAAAAATAGCATAGCAACACCCCTGTTGTGGAGTCACAACAGCCTTCCAATCACATAGCAACACCCTGTCGACTACCCATAACATCCTAGCAACTTCATAGAAACACTGTAGCAACCACCTATAATGCCCTAGAAACCACATAGTAATGTCATTGATACCCACTACAGCATCTTAGCAATCACAATGCAACACTTTCAACTACCCACAACACCCTAGCAACCACATAGCAACAATACTTTAGTATAGCAACACCTGTGTAACCACCCACAACACCCTAGCAATCATATAAAAGCACTCTTCCAGCTAAACTTGCTACATCATATCAACCATATAACAACAGCCATAGAACCACCAGCAACGCTGTAGAAACTGCATAGAAACGCCCTGGCAAACACTCAGACAGGCACAATGAGAGTCGCTTGCTTATTTTCAGTGACTGCACTTTTCATTCTTTGTGTTCCAGCTGTTTTTCTACTATTGTTGGAATGAATGCCGGAAGCCCCGGTTGAGACTATATACAGTAGATGACATTCGTCAGTGTGTCATATTGTCTTTGATTACATCTCAGTAGCTGGAGTCGGTCTGTCCCGCTGTGGTGGCGCTGTGACCCCTCGCTGCTTTAAATGAGCTCTGTTAAATTTGTCCACGTCCCCCACCGGCCCCGTTCAGTTCAAACCTCAGCTCTGCCTGCAGTCATTTCTGTATTAAACGTGAATGGGGATGATGCATTCGAATGCCTCCTTATGGCTTTTCATGTACTCGTGAAGACAACTCAATCGTTCTCTATATCTCTGACTCTCTCTTTCTCTCTCTAGAAGAAACACATATTTGTAATTTATTGTAATTGTAAATAAGTTTTCAAAAAGACCCAGGACTAATATTATGTTATCTATTTCTATAATCTATTTATTCAAATTATGTAATTATATTAAACAACCTTTTAAAACTATTTATTTATAATTATAATTCTATACAATGTATGTAATATATGTATTTCTATTTGAACTATTTAAATTATATAACAATCAAAACCTTACAAAAATATTATTGTTGTTGTTGTTGTTGTTATTTGTGCAAATAAATCTGTCATTTTAATGTAAATACATTTAATACATTGAATAAAATAAATGAAAAGTTCATTTTGTTATTAATGCCCAAGAAAAGTGCTACAGGCTTGGAAAACTGTCCCAGCTCTGCCTATGGAGTTTATAATAAAGTGTGATTCACTCTCTCCTGCAGGTGTCCATGGTGTTATCAGCCCTGCAGGCTGGTAATAAAGGAACTCAGGCCTGCATAACTGCAGCCAGTTCTGTCTCCGGCATCATTGCTGATCTGGACACGACCATCATGTTTGCCTCTGCCGGCACACTAAACGCAGAGAACGAAGAGTCTTTCGCAGACCACAGGTGAGACCTAGTAGAACATAACAGTTTCAGCATCACATACATAAAATGTCAAAGGTTTGTTTTATTAATGTCGGCGTAATCTTGGGTGTCTCATTGAGTTATCTGAAGCGTATTTGTTTCTGAACACTTCAGAGAGAACATATTGAAAACCGCTAAAGCTTTGGTTGAGGACACCAAGCTGCTTGTGTCTGGTGCTGCATCGAGCCAGGACAAACTAGCCCAGGCGGCCCAGTCCTCTGCCAAGACCATCACACAGCTCACTGACGTGGTCAAACTGGGCGCTGCGAGCATGGGATCAGAGGACCCTGAGACACAGGTGCGTGTTTCGCTGTTATAATCTGTCATAGGATTTTCACGACACCAACATTTCAGATATTACCCAATGCCCAGTGTGTTCTAATTCTGTCTGCTCCTATATTTTTATCCTGGACTATATTTATCCTTTTTCACACCCTGACTGAGTGTAATGAGAATATCATTAGCTCTCAAATATCTCGACGTTTGGGTGCAGACACTCTCTGACTCACTCTAACAGCCAGTGGCATGTATCATGACACATCTCTGCCCAAAATCTAAATTACCAGTTGAGGATTAATAAATCATAATGTATTGTATGGTATTATAAATGTGGTTCCGATAAATAACTGCACCCCTGGAGGAGTGCAATGCTTTATGGGAGTGGATAAAGCCAGTGGCATATCATGACTAAAGGTGGTTGTGATAAGTCTTCTCTCTATCTCTTTCAGGTTGTACTGATAAATGCAGTCAGAGACGTCGCTAAAGCTTTGGCTGAGCTGATTAGTGCCACTAAATGTGCCGCGGGCAAGGCAGCAGACGATCCGTCTATGTATCAGCTGAAAAGTGCCGCCAAGGTATGTTTGGTTGAAGAATGTTGTGTGTGTGTGCGTGTCTGTAAGTTCCTGTTTGTAAGAAAGGCATTATGTGTCTTAGTGAGGATCATATCTTATTCTGATGACTATCACTGTGTGTGTATGTGTGTACGCCTGTCTAACAGCTGGCCCTGTCTCTCATTTTCTTGGCTGGGTGCTGTCTTCGCTCGCTGTCATCTTGGTGTGTGGCCACAAATCAAACCCTATCTTACAGTGATCATAGTGTGTATGTGAGTGACTCAATGGCCACGCAGCAGGGTACAGAACCAAGCTGTGTGTGTGTATACAGCATAAGGACTGATTCCTTCCCTTCCTCTCTTTCTTTTTTTGTCTTCTCTCCAATGCCATGTATGATTTGCTACATGGCAATACGTATTAATTTTGTAAACCTAATTAAAAGAAAATTAAAACTTCACTCGCTTCTGCAGTTATTCTGTGGATCAGTGCACACATTTTATCATGTGAAGTGAATATAACTATCTCCAGGCTTGTTTAAACAGAAATTGATGTGTACCACACATATTTTCTAGCATTTTCTAATCCTTTAATCATTCACCTGGTGCTGTTAAACCTCTGGGATTAACTTCCACATACATGCAACATGATATGTTTTATTTAGCATACTTAAATAATGAGGTGTTATGCAATTGTGACCTTGATGGAAAGATTTTTTACATTCCTCCAACATATGGTGACTTCAGATCCTCTGGGATTTTGCTTCAGACATTTGCTTCAGACATTCAGGCTTGTTTCTTCAGTGTGTGTTGAAAGTAGTGGTGGCGTCCCTCAGGGCTTTGTCTTAGGCCCTCTTTTGTTTTCTTAGGTTTCCTCCTTTTTCCTTTTGTGTTTAAAACTTGTGTTTAAAATCTTGCCTAAAGCAAGATTTATAATCCATTACAGACCTCAGCTGTGGTCCATTAAAAGGTCCCGTTTGATCACCTGACTATATTCTGATGTTTTTATGTATGATTTAGATTTGAATTTTTTTACCTTAAAAAGAACATAATCTGGTTGACCTTGTCTGATATTTCCCTGAGCTGTTCGATGCAGCTGTTCTTGTCATAGCATTGCATCTGACCTTATTTCAGTATCTCAGGTGAAAAACTGGCCACAAAACTGTTGACATTCTCTAGTTGATGTCACTTAAGCTGTGATACATAAAGCAGAAAAAAGAGTTCCAAGCTAGTCCGAGACTTTGACTTCCCTATGTTTTACAGGTGATGGTGACGAACGTGACCTCCTTGCTGAAAACTGTGAAAGCGGTGGAAGATGAGGCCACTCGCGGGACGAGGGCTCTTGAAGCCACTATTGAGTGCATCAAACAGGAACTCACTGTACGGAACATTCTTTGTGTGAATATTGAAATATTCCAAGAGATAATGTGCTTTCCACACTTAAAGAATAGTTCTTCAAAAGGGAACATACAGTCATTATGTTCTCACCCTCATTCTGTTCCAAATCTGTATGACTTTCTTCTGTGGAACACAAAAGAAGATATTTTGAAAGTCAATGGGATCTAAACAACATTGTGTGGACAAAACAAAACACTGAGACATTTGTCAAATTACCATCTTCTATTCTTTTAAGCACTTGGGAATAGTTAGTACATGTCATGCTCATTTTGATCCTAATTAAGATGCTAATACAATCAACTTGTATTACAATCTGGCTGTGAATTAGTAACAATTAGGTCCTGCCTAATTCATTTTAGCCCAGACAGAGGTAAAAACCCATCCATTTGTGATATTAACTGGTAATACAGAGTAATACACCATGCGCACGTTTGCCTGTTCTCCACCTGCTCCTCGTTCTCCTTCTCCCATGGGCATCCCTACTCCACTTATCACAGGCCGAGTGACAGATTGAGATAGTGGTACAGGAAGGCAAGAAATTTATCTTTTGGTTTAATGCTCCTGTTATCAGATGCCCATCAGGACTTTAGGAAATTCTGATGGCATTACTGTATTAGTGCACAGAAAATCGTCCCTGGTAATGTGACCGATTCTAAAAATATATGATTCACTTAAGATCTGTAGATGTTATTTCTGTTATGTATAAAATATTTCTTAATTTCCCTGACTGTTGCATCATCTGCTTTACAGGTTTTCCAGTCCAAGGACGTTCCGGAGAAATCTACCACCCCGGAAGAGTTCATCCGCATGACCAAGGGCATCACCGTTGCGACGGCCAAAGCGGTGGCAGCAGGCAACTCTGCTCAGCAGGAGGACGTGATATCCACTGCCAACCTGAGCCGCAAAGCCATCTCTGACATGCTGACCACCTGTAAGGTGCTTATCCACCATCACACAGACATATGCACAATCTCATCGTATGCTGACCAACTGTAAGGTGGAAATCCACAAACACTTGAATACCAACAAAATGTGTTTATATACACTCTCCATGTGCAATGAATGCCGTTTGCTCTATTTCTCAATGTCATTTGGCACTAACCTACTTTTGACTCCTAAATTACGCCCTCTAGTGTCGTCATGATGCATCCGTTCATTATCATACATTATACAAACTGCTGCCCTTACCAAAATTTCCCATGGTAACCATAGTTTTTTCTTAGTAAAATTAAATAAATTTAAAAGAGAACTTATATTTGGCAAATGTGGCTTTTTTTCCTACCTTGCATTTTTTATTTTTTCTTGTATATTTCCTTTAAAATATATGTACAGTTTATGTAGAGTATTAACATCTACATAGAAAGTTCTCATGGTCATTTTTGTAAGAGTCTTGTGGTGGAATGTGATTTTCTCTATACAGGAGGTTATTGGTTCGAATCCCCATCGCAAGCTTTTTTTTCTTTAATCTTTTACTTAAAGTTTATTTTGTCATGTCATACCATGTGTTTACTCTTTTCATGTGAATGTATTATATATCAGTAATGTAAGTGATTTGAAAATGAGGGTCATGTTGACTTTGTTTGCTCATCCTCTCAGGTTCAGAGTGGGTGGACCCAGAAGACCCCACGGTGATAGCGGAGACAGAGCTCCTGGGTGCTGCTGCGTCCATCGAGGCCGCAGCCAAGAAACTGGAGCAGCTGAAGCCCAGAACCAAACCAAAGGTATCCTTCCATCCATCCATCAATTTTCTGAATCCAAACACACACACACACACACACTGCTGTGATCAGCCCGCCAGCACAGCTATGTCAGATCAGTTCCACCAAAGGCTGCGGGATCGTTTCATTCCTGTTTTGTATTCGGGGAGAGGGAGGTGATGTTGTTTTTGTAATTTCAGGACTTCAAGACTTCAGGATGTGGTGTTTTTGTATTTTCATGGTGTTTGGGAAGTTTTGCGCACATCTGTGTAGCTTTGTCTTTGTTTTTTGTGGTTATTTTTTTTCCATCTTGTACATTAACAATTTGAGATTTTGAAGTCTGATGAGCACTGAACTTGAAATGATTGTCTGGTTTTTGGTTTGTTGGGCTGTTTTGTGATCTGTCTTGCATCTCAATTATTCAGTAGTATCATGAAGTTTTGTTTTAGAGCGTGCTGAACTTTTAGTCAGTAAATCTGAAACTCATCTCCAAGAAGGTCAGCACTTTTTAGAAATGATTTTCCCTGAAGCGCTTTTATTGTTTCATCCATCTGTATTATAGCTCAGCTGTCAGTGATGCTTTTCGCCTAAAAAAAAACATTCATCCACATTTTGCCGCTCAGAGCTGAAACTGTTTCCCCCCTTGAGTGTGTCAGTGACTCACATTTACTGCCACAGACCGAACACTGAACAGAGAGACAACATCCATCTGTCTATCGGTCTGTCTGTCTATCTATGTATCTGTCTTTCTAACTGTCTGTCTGTCTGTCTATCTATCTATCTATCTATCTATATATCTGTCTATCTATCTATCTATCTGTCTGTGTCTGTCTGTCTGTCTATATATCTATGTATCTGTCTGTCTGTCTGTCTGTCTATATATGTATCTTTCACATCATGTGACAACAGTGTGGCATACTACTGTTTGAAACATTTAGCATTTCTGTATCTGTTTCACTTACTGATTTTTTAAAATAGTTGTCTGTGTATGCTGTACAGTATGCATTAGGCTAGTATTCCATTACGAACATAGTGAAATAAAGAGTATGTTCAAAATAGCATATTTACCATACTATTTGTGATATTATTGCAGTATGCATTATGCATATTGTGCATAGTATCCACACTGCGTGGTTTACCGTATCCCACAATGCAGTGCTCCCTCCATTTCACATTTCATGCATACAAAAATTAGCATTCTGTGCATTGTGTATGTACTGGAAATGTATTACAAGCAGACTTGTAATATGCTATTATGAACAAACTAATACTCTTTGTTTGTGTAGTCGAACGTTTGTAAATATGTCTTTCAAAGGAGTTTGATTAACCAATTGGTGGAAATCTGTCATATTCTTTTTTTTTTCTGGGAACAACAAAGCATGTATCTTGCTAAAAAAAAAATAGATATTATAATAATAGGTAATAATAAAATCTCAGTTCCACAAATGTTTTTGACATAATGGCTTGGTGAGAGGATTCTTGCCAGTCCATTAGCATAGATAAAGCATTTCATCTTTATAATAACTGCATTTATTTAAAGGTAATATCATGGTTTCATGTCTAGCCAGCAGTGAGCCAAGAGTATTCATTACAGTTAATAAGGTCACAATCTACAGTTTGTTACATCTCTTGCTCTTTTATTTTCGCAGCAAGCCGATGAGTCTCTGGACTTTGAGGAGCAGATCCTGGAAGCGGCAAAATCCATCGCTGCAGCAACCAGCGTTCTGGTCAAATCCGCATCGGCCGCACAAAGAGAGCTTGTAGCACAGGGCAAGGTACTAAAATCATTGAACTTTTTATTTTATTTTTTTTTTTTACATAGGCTATACATTTTTCTACTTTTACAGTGTTGTTATTGCTATTAAAATTGTTTGTGTTAACTTGAAAAACTGAAACTGAAATTGCCTGTGCAACTAACTGAACTAAACAAAGCTAAATCACTCAAATTAAATCTAAAATGAAATAAAAATAAATTAAAGCTAAATAGAAATATTATCAAAAAACCTGAAAACCACATAAAATTACTACAACTTTAAAATTAAAATGAAGTTAAAATTTAAAAATCAAATTATATAATAGTACACAACATTATATAATAGGACAAATAATACTGAAATAGCACTGCTACTTTAATATTTTTTTGTATTTATATTTTTATGTAGGTGGGCTCCATCCCTGCCAATGCAGTAGATGACGGCCAGTGGTCCCAGGGTCTAATATCAGCTGTAAGTTGTTAGAATCAACAATTGTAATTGAAGTGAAGTTCCTTTGACAAGAAGCATCAGCTAAATGACAATTACTAATTTAAATCCTACCCTCTTTTAGGCCCGAATGGTTGCGGCCGCCACTAGTAACCTGTGTGAGGCTGCTAACGCTTCAGTCCAGGGTCACGCCAGCGAGGAGAAGCTCATTTCCTGTGCCAAACAGGTGGCAGCTTCCACCGCTCAGCTGCTGGTGGCCTGTAAAGTCAAAGCGGACCAGGACTCAGAGGCCATGAGGAGATTACAGGTTACAATCACTTGAATAATACAAAATAATATGAGATCTAAGTGAATTATTCAGTTAAAAAAAAATGGTTTTGTGTTTGCACAGGCTGCTGGTAACGCAGTGAAGAGAGCGTCTGACAACCTGGTGAAGGCAGCGCAGAAAGCAGCCTTTGATAAAGCCGAAGACGACAGCGTGGTGGTTAAAACGAAATTCGTAGGAGGAATCGCTCAGGTGAGATTCTTTCCGGTTTCTGAATATTCCTTGACTTCTGAAGTAATGCTGCTCAATTAAAAAGTGATTTGACATTTGTGGATCTACAAAGCCGTCAGTGGGGTTTGAAAGCTGTGGTTTTGTACCAAGCATCCACAGCTGGCATCTTACACCGGGCTGCTGTATCCACAAACAGCTCATTTTCACGTTTCATCCCGGGCCAAATGCCCATTAATTAAAGACTGCGCGTCTGCCTATTCAAAGCTTCCTTCCTCCCAGAATGCCTTCATGTCTTGTGTTCATCTTGAGAGGGCACTGGAATATTGTGAACATCTGAGAAAGCCCATTGAGTGGATGGCGTGAGTGTTTGCATGCACCCTTGAATCCTTGCCATTGCCAGCACAACAAAAAGAAGCTTTTTGCACCGATTCAGCCCCTCTTCAGAAGGTTAAGCCTTGATCCATCCGTCCCATTCCTTAAATCCACAAAAATTTTACTCTCTTTGGAAAATAACAAGATGTCTATTGCAGATCCAGGCTCATTTTTTTCCAGCACAATTATGCTAAAATTACACATTGCTCTAAAGAATATGAAGCTTTTTCTCTCTGTCACTAAGACAGCAGCCGAAGGAAAAGCTCATTTCGAAAAAAAACTGGAAGGAAACACATCCCTTGGCATTTTTCATTGGCTATAATATGTAAGCATTATTTATGTATCATTGTACCACAAACGATTTGGCTGTCTTCACCTAAGGAAACTGGTTTTAAACAATCCACAGGACTGATTGGAGATCGGTTTTTAGATCTGAAACTTCAACATTGTATATAAACATTGGAACTCATTCTTGAAACATGAAAATAAAGAATTTCTGTGTGCATTGTTTAGAAAACAATTCTTACATAAATTGTTGAGTTTATGCTTGAAATGAGCAGAATTAATCTTTGTAAATCGTTCTTGCATTCATCTGCTGTTGTTTGCATTCATGCAATGCAAGCGAAACCAATTTGTACAAACCATTCTTGTGTAAATTGCCGTAATGATTTTCTATCAGGCTGCATTTATTTAAGCAAAAAGAAATTGTGGTAATCGTTGGTAAAAACATTCTTTTGTAATTTGTCGCATTTGTCACATTCATGCATAAAATGAGCAGAATTCATTTGTTTTAACCATTCTTGCATAAATTGCATTCATCTGCATTTGTTGCATTTATGCAACACAAGCAACCAAGCCTGTATAACACATTCTTGCATAAATTGCCACAATGATCTGCAGTCATGTTGTATTGATTTGTGCATGAAAAATGCATTTCATAAAACTTTTCCATTACAGTAATTTGTTGCATTCATATCACATTCATGAATGCAACAAGAACAAGTATCCCATTTTATTCGCATTTGTCGCATTCAGGCAACACGAGTCAAACAAATTTGTGTAAACGGTTTTTAGTACATTTTTGCATTCATGTCACATTAATTCATGAAACATGACCGAAAGTCATTTCTGTTGTAATGTTTCTTACGTAAATAGTCATAATCATGTTGCATTCATGCATGAAACACAAGCCAAATGAGTTTGTGCAAATCATTTACTGTATGAAACCATGTTTACATTGTTGTTGTATTCATTCCTTCATAATCATTCAGGAAACTTCTGCCGTATTACGCATTCATTTTTGAAACATGAGCAGAATGAATCTGCATGAAATGTTTGTAAATCCATTGTAATGTACGTTTTTGCATTTATGCGCCTTCTCATGTCATGTCACAGCAGAAGGAATTTTTTTACAAGTTGTTCGTAATTTACACATGAATGGTTAAACAAGAAAGAATTTTCATGAATTCTCATTTTTCACGAATGTTGCTCATTCAGTGACTAATGGTTTTGCATTATTTCCAGATCATCGCAGCTCAGGAGGAGATGCTCAGAAAAGAAAGGGAGTTAGAAGAAGCCCGGAAGAAACTCGCCCACATCCGACAGCAGCAATACAAGTTCCTGCCCAGCGAACTGCGAGAAGACCAGAGCTGAACACGTCTCGTCTGATTGGACGCGGATCATGATTGTTACGGATGATTGGCTGCTCCTTATATGCAGAGCTAGAGATGTCACACGTCATTGGTTGGTCATTGTCAGGTGACTTGTTAAAGTTAAATGTGATTGGCTCACAGGGGATTAGCGCCACTGATTAGCTGTATGTTGAGGTATGAATGGATTTCCTTTCTTGTTTTTGTTCTTGTTTTTTTAAGGTGTAAAGCACTTGTTAGAGGTTTGCGTGACTGTGTGTTTTACGTATCAATAGTATGCCACTCATTGGCGATAGCTTACCATAAGGATCTCGATAACTAATCCTACACAATATCAGTGCATCTAGTTTTATAATGAAACCAATGTGAAACTATTAATATCTGAACCTGGCTGCCAGACCAATTTTACTTATGAAGTATGATGCCAGACCCGTAAGCTTTCATTATTCGCACTCGCGTGACGATAAGCTTCGAACGCCTCTAGAATGCACTGCTCGATTCATACATATCCCCCTCTAGAACTGTATTATTGTTAGTAAGGTTATGAATTCTAGGTAGTTATAAGGAAAGAATGTACTGGTGTGCTTTGTCGTGTTATTTATTGTTAGCAGAACTTTAATAGAGTAGCTTCCAGCTTCTCTTTGCGTTTGTAGGTCTAGTTGGGGGCTCGAATGAGGTTGATTCATGCAAATAGAGTTTCATTCAGTCCTCTCTTCATACCTCAGCTGTGGCCCAGATTGTTACATTTCCCATGATTCCTCTGTGTGTCTAAACTTAGTCAGGTAGACAGCCCAAACACGACGGATATGTTCGGAATAACAAAATAATTAATAGAGTAGCTTCCAGCTTCTCTTTGCGTTTGTAGGTCTAGTTGGGGGCTCGAATGAGGTTGATTCATGCAAATAGAGTTTCATTCAGTCCTCTCTTCATACCTCAGCTGTGGCCCAGATTGTTACATTTCCCATGATTCCTCTGTGTGTCTAAACTTAGTCAGGTAGACAGCCCAAACACGACGGATATGTTCGGAATAACACGCCAACACACTACTCATACTATTTCTGCAGCATACTTTCAGTATGCAGATTTTCTGCATTAGAATAATCAGATGACATTCTGTATCCCACAATGCAATGCCAATTTTTCATTTCTGTTTTATAAATGAACAAAATGTAATACTAGCCTCAATTTTTGGCTGGCATACTAACCAAGTAATAGCCTTTTTAACACAAAATTGGATAAAAATGCAAAAAATATATATATATTATAGGAAACAACATTATACGTAGGAATGTTATATCCCACAATGCATTGTGCTTCTTTTTTTCCAGTGTAATGAATGAACAAGAAGTAATACCAGCTTCAATTTTGGCTGATTTAAAATTGCCATACTACATACGTATATTTTATATGCGTCAAAATTTTCAAAACCTTTTCTATTTAATTTGGATAAAAATGTGAAACAAAAAAGGGGGAAAATTTCCAGAAGACAACTTGACATAATTAAATGTGCATAATAATAATAAGGTCATGTATCAACAATATAACACACTACACTACATTGCACAGTGTGCGAATTGTCTGTATTGAAATAACCAGCTGACCTACTATTTTTGCCAAAATATGCAGTATGGAGAAACAGTACTCTGTGTGGAACACTATATCCCACAATGCAATGCGCTCAAATTCATTTTTAATACTGTAGCGTGCTACATATCTTTATTTGTGGCAAAATGTTCAAATTTTTTGCACAAAATTGGATACAAATCCGAAAAACCTTTTGAAAACGATCTGAATTAAATGTGCGTAATAATGAGATCATGTGTCAACAATTACTGTTTGCATACTGCGCACTATTTAACATACTATTTTTTAAATAGTAGAAAGTAAACAGTGCTATTTTAAGTATTGAATAAACGCAATGCTGGCATTTCATTCCGAACATAACCTGCGTCTAGAGCTGTGCAAGAAGAAAAACTTTACGCAAAATGCGCCAAACAAACTACGTGGTGAGGTCATGTGACGACAATGTAGCATACTTACCGTTTGAAATGTTTATCAGTAAATCGTAATAATCCAGACTGTTTCACATACTGTTTTTAAAACAATAGTAAGCATTATACAGTATATACTGTGCAGTATGCAGTACGCAGAGCGCTAGTATTCCATTCTGACCGCAGCCAGAATCTCAGTGTTGTACTTTCTAATATCACAGTTCTCATAAAACGCATTCACTCGCATTTCTGGTCTACTTTGAGATTGTACCTGCATGGCTGTTAGGAACACAGCAGGAAGCGCCACATCAGTAGCTTTGTTGGATTCAGTGGCGTCAGTGTAGTCTTACCTGCAAATAACACGTCTCTTCTGCTTATCGTGTACTTCGTGTGTGTTTTTGGTTTGAAAATCCCAGTGGAATCTTTTACGAGGGTGAAATTCCCGTTTCATTTCCTGTTTGCGTTGTGTAGAATAACGTGTGGCACTTAACAAGCTGAGAACTGACTGTTGTGACTTCAGATCTGGACTGCATTGTGTCATAGTGCCTTATTCGGACTTCTTCAGTAGCTCAGTGTGTGCAAGTTGCTCTTAAATGCTGCTTGTGGACCAGGTTTCACTGGAATTTAATGTCTAACGATACTGAGCAAGTATAAACATCGTCCGTCTTCAGATGAGTAAAGCAGATGTCTTTTGTCCTTTTCAAACTAGCTTTGGATGTGTACAGCGTTGTTTCCAGTCTAAGCCGCCGCGTATGATGACTAAATCTGACGTCCATTGGGCGGCTATTTGATTCTGGTTTGCAATATTGTACCTACTGAGGCCTAAAGATGCACTTGCCTTGGCAGGCCGCTATACTGCCGTACCATGAACTATTTAGACAAAGTTAACAAACCACGAGTAGGAAAAGGAAGGATGTGATTGTTTCTGTCAGCACTGACTGCTTTCAGCTTGTCCACGTGAAGAAGAATATTAAAATGTCCCAAAAAAAGAACAAGGTTATCTTGCTTTTCATTTCAGTAAACCACTATGTATGACGTTTTGGTTTTTTTTGTTTACTTTGAGTTATAGCTATAATGAAGATATTGCAATATGTGGTTGAACATGTGGTGTCTTTCAGTGGAGCCGAAGAAAACAGCAAGAACTATCGCCTTCTTTTGACATAGAGTTAGGGCTGTCTTTAATCAACTGACATAGTGACATTAATAATGATAATAATAATGAACATTAAAATGCTGTATGTATAATATTTATCTGGTCACGAAAGTATTTTTTGTATTGCCCTGGAAAATAAAGAGTTTCAACAAAGTATGATTTGTGAAAGCATTTTTTGGGGGGGAGGTGGGGGTCGATAATTACATGGTGTTAATTAGACAGGATTTGGTTATTATAATAGTACATTTTTAAGCAATAAATGGGTAACATTTTATTTTAGTGTCCTTGTTACACATCTTACATGTACTTACTATAGTAATAACAGAAAATTGTGCATAAGTACAAGCAACTATCCCTAAACCAAATCCTAACCTTAATTATATAGTAAATGTTAATTCATATTTATTAATATTAGTCAGTAATTAGTTGTATAATAATTAAACTGTAATGAGGGCACATGCAACAAGTGTGTCTGTGTGTGTGCGTGCGTGCGTGTGTGTGTGTGCGTGTGCGTGTGTGTGTGTGTGTGCGTGCGTGTGTGTGCATGTGTGTGTGTGTAATATTCAATTGTATTTATTTTTGAAATATATATTTTTAATTAATTATTAAAGGGTTTTAATGAACTGTGAAAAAAATACTGTTTCAATTTTATCTTGAAAAAGAATTTTGTAGAATTATTATTTTTATCATTATTATTATTATTTGTGTTTGTATGTATTTTTCAAAATAAAATGTCCCTTATGAAAATTAGCCATGGTTTTATTAGTAAAAGTGTAGTGGTTTTTTTGGCGTATTGATTACCATTTGTATAACCACAGTTTTACTACAAATACCATGGTTAAACTATGGTTAAGTGTAGCAAAAACATGGTTAATTTGCGGTTACTGTGGTTTAACTATAGTAACCATGTTACCTGTTTTTCTTTTTTTAACAGTAGTAGTAAAAACATGGTTACCAGCCCACATGAAAAAGTACTGTAGTAATTTATGGTAAATACTATAGTGTTTTTGAACCCGCAGTGTAAATGGATCTTAAATTAATAATAATAAATAAATAAATAAATAAAAACTGTATTTTTTTTATCATAGATCTTTTTTTTTTTATTATATCTACCAGAAACCCATAGCAATCTACAAACTTTTCTTTAAATTTGCCATAAATTAGACTAAATACATTTCTTTAAAAAAAATAGACTAAAAAATTATTTATATATATATATTATATATATCTCCTGTTGCTCCGGTTTTTGTCTAGTCTTAGTATAGAGCAGCTGTGGTAAGTTTTACATGCATCTACAAGTGTGTGCGTGTGTATTTTTGCTGAGATTCTTCACTGAAGCAGAGCAGACTAAATCTGTCTTTCTCTGACGTAATTCTATCCAAGTACACACACTAAACCAAGCAAATGCTCACAGTGTTTTTACGACCATTATAAACATTTAGGCACAGAAATGTGCTCACGTGCTTTCACTTACATTTTCTGCATTTTAATCTCATAAATATCCGTGCAGCATAGTTTATAACGGCGGAGTAAACGCGTTTTGACGCTGTTTGTGTAGCTCTAGATGTGACACATTCTCTCCAGCAGGTGGCGCTGTTACTTCATGTGTTGTGGTCACGGTCATTCTGGGAATTATATTGTGGATGGCTAAATTACAGTCTGTGTGACCAAAAAAGGACATGTGGCATCTTTTGCTTCGTCTCCCGACAGCGAACTATAAGAGAACAGCATGTTCGACCAAAATGGGAGAGTAAAAAGAGGGTTAAATCAACAAATTCACACTGCTGATATGAGGTGAGACAGAAACATGGTATTCTGTTAGTATCCATTAGTTACCATATTCTAGATATTAAAGCCAGACAGAGGAAGTCCAGCAGACTAGAGTAAAGCTTGTCTAATGAACACCATATTAGGCTGCCAAAGTGTGTTGTATGAGTCCAGCCTACTAAAAAAGAAAAAATTGTGGAGCCATTCAGTCTCTAGAAAATACACACCATGCTGTAATAGTAGGGATGTTTTGGGTTTTGGCTCAGATTGAGTCCAAAATCCATGAGATTTCAACTCTTTTCCTCCACTACATAAATCTGAATGTTCACTAAATATTATTGTTCTCATACTGTAACTATTATCAGGAGCTCAGCTGAGGTCCGTGGAGCGGCGCTGCTTTTAAAGTCCGATCTGAGGCATGATGGGAAACCTCGTTAAATGATGCAAACCCTGTGTGGACTCGTATGGTTACTCGAAAACCCCACATTCACACATGCAGCAAGATCAGACTGTATAAAGTACTATTTAAAGGGATAGTTTGCCTAAAAAATACAAATTTTGTCATTTACTCACCCTCAAGCCCAAACCTTTATGACTGACCTTTTTCTGCAGAAATGCGTTCCTGCCTCTTTAAGCCACTGTAAAACCAATATTTGTTGATGCTGGATATGAATATTGGGTGGACACATGCCTTTATGATGTTTATCAATGTTTATAATGAACCAAGCTTTTCACAAGATATTATTGATGGACTGGAGTGGTGTGGATTACTGTGATGTTTTTATCAGCTGTTTGGACTCTCATTCTGACGGCACCCATTCACTGCAGAGGAACCATTGGTGAGCAAGTGATGTAATGATACATTTCTCCAAATCTGTTCTGATGAAGAAACAAACTCATCTATATCTTG